AGATTTCACCAAAACTTCCTGCAAGCTTCATGCAAGCTTCATGCAAGCTTCAAAAGAGCTTAAGATGATGCCTGCATCTGGGCAGGTCTGCAGACCAACAGATAATAATGTGGCCACCGACTGGAAGAACCACATGCCCTCAACTCTCAACAATGGACGGGATGTATCACAGCAAACATTTTCTGTTTTTTACCAGACCACCCAGCACTGCCCTCATAGTTGCCTCAGCAACAGATGTCCAAGGAGTCCTTGGATGCCCCCCCCAACAAAAAGGGCACCCAACAGATACCTCTGAGGCAAATTTTGGCCATTGCGGTTGCCTTGGATTGGATCCTTGGCTGGAGCTTCCCTTGGAGTGGAAGTCCAAGAACTCATATTTTTGCATATATGCTGGCTGTGCATACATGCCTCATGAAGTGATTGGAAGTTGTGACATGTTTGACAAATGGCAATCAGGGCTGGTCACCCATGGAAGATGGATTTGGGAACAACACCCAAACCAATCCAAGACAATGCCACTTTTTGGACACTTTGCATGTGGTATTGGGGGACAGACATATCTGAACCAATACCCAATACAATATGAAGACCAAAAAAATCTCGCAGCTCATATCGTATTGCCCAAACAATAGGAGCCAATACAATATGGAATTTGTGGCAAAAGTGCCATTTGAACTGCAATTGGGGTTCAAAGCAGTCAATTTATGAGGTGATCTAATGTTGGTTCAAGCCTGGATATGGTATTGCCGATACCCAACATGAAAAAAGGTGCTCCACATGTGGTGTTGGCTGAACCAATATGAGAAAATCTGATTTTTTGTGTTGGATTGCCAATACAAAACCAATACAATACCGACATCTGTGTCATATTGATGGGGTGTTGTTGGGAAAGGCGACAAGAGGTAGGTTATAAAAGGTGTTCATCAAAATTCAATCAGAAAAGGATCAAGCAACAAAGGAAGCTCGAACAAAGTAGTTGAAGTGGGGAGGGTGAATTGTGACCAAACAACAGTTCTGAAAACCTTTGTAACCTTTCTGCCTGATGTTGGCCTCGACGCCCCGCTGCAGTGCCATAACATGTAAATGTCATATTACAGACATCTAAGTGTAGAGTACCGGGCGCTCGGGGTCATGCAGCGGTCCTTCGAGGCCAACATCAGGCCTGATGTTGGCCTTGAAACCCTGCTGCAGGACCCCAATGCTATGGTACTGTGACATGTTGATGTCATATTACAGAAATCCAACTGCAAAGTACCTGGGCTTTCGGGGTCATGCA